GAGCAAATCACAATGAAACTTTACCCTAGCAAGCTGATATAAATACCACATGCTGCCACTTTCCCATGTATCTTTTCCGTCACCATGAATAATGAAATATTCTCGCAGGTTGACTAAACGATGTTATTTTTAGGCAAAAATTAATTTCCTCCTTATAGTTTGTGCGAGGATATATCATGGACATGATCCTCGTATTAAAATTTTAACTACTTACGACGAAAGATTGTCGCTCACACCCATATCAATAAACGAATTGCTGGAGTACTTTCCTGCATACATGATTGTTAAAGCTTTCAAGGTGATGACAGAAAAATGCTACAAGTGCCAATGAAAATCTCTCGGTTTATCCCCTTAGCTATTTATGCAAGAAGAATATAATCTCGTGGAGCTGGAGTTTATCGCGCGCAAATATAAAAGGAGATCTCCTGCGGAGACTACAAAAATTTGCATGAGACCACCCGGAAGGGTAGAAGAAGCGAGAGTTTCTTTTAGAGTAAAAAAGTGTGTTTTGTCTGCTGCTGTCAAAAGGGCCAAAATTTTATACTTTTCTCGAGGGATGACTTCATTTCCGAGTGCCGAGGACCTTATTCATGAAAAATTGTTGTATTCAATTCATGTGACGACTGGTGAAATATTTTTCATTGTGCACACAATATATATGCAAAGTTGGATAAGAAAGAATACAAAGAGCACTGAGCGACGGTGGACCGAAAAGTATAAAATCTGGATTTTGACGTTGTTTGTGTGAATTCATTAACATTCATCCCCTTACTCCTCGAGGACGAAAGACTGTCGGGCTTCAGAAAATGAAAATTTGAAAAATCGATCTCCTCCAAGACAAAATCGATGGTTGTCTATCCTTGAAAACCTAACCGAGAAAACAATTTAGACTTTCGAATCTTTGTGGGCACTATGACACGAGTTTTACCTCGTAAATCGTTTTGATAGTGAGGTTGTCCTCGCATATAACAACCAAAAGTAGATTTGAATAGTTAATTTTTATCGTTTCATTTTAACGGTTATTCTGTTATGATGACATTGCTCATGTGGCAACATTGGTCTTGACATTGTGGGAGCAGCTACTGTTAGTGGAGCGCTGCCATACATAAGGTTCTGGAAGTTTAAATGCAAGAAATAATAGAGACATAACGCATGAGTAAATTGCATTGGAGGTTTTTCCTGCGAATGTGACTACATATCTTGGAAACTGGTTATCATAAAAATTGGAGTTATTTCTATAGTCTTTAAAACGAAAGTAGCTTTTCCGCCATGTAGACACTAGTAGTTATGAATATATTGCTAGTCGATAGTAACAGCCTCATTTGAAGTAACATTAACATTCCTGTGATCTTCAGACCATTGATTAGTAATAAATTTATATGGCATAATACAAAACTTTTCCTGTTGATTGATCTGAACTTCCTCGATTTATCCCTCAATTGTAATTGTAAATTTTCTTGCGCGGAAACTAACATTTCAACTCTCTTAATGAACTTTACCTAATGCGGTAAGAAGTAGCATTTAAATTCAATTCGAGAGCCTTAATTGTGACCCCAAGTATACTTATGTAAACGTCTTCCACTGCAGCTAACCGCAAGCCGGGTGTCTTGGTCGACAATAGTTAAATGATCAGTACCACATTTCGTTGACGGCCCCACAACAAAGTAACTATGTTGGAAGAAACATGATTTCTTGACATAGCAGCATCTGTGGTTGAAAATGTTGGGTACAGAAAAAATGTAGTGATGTAAACTGAAAATTTCAATGGATTAATTTGTAGTTAAAAAAATAAATAATCTGTATTTATTTTTCGATGGTGGGTGTTTCGATGAAAATGTGATTTCTAAATGTTGCTAATAATTAATTTTCTTTTGTGAAATGGCCAGTTAAAATCTGGCTGATGTAACTCGACGCCCCTATACATCATTTGACTGAATTATATGGTTTGATGGTTTAACCAGTGGTTACAGCTCAGAGTACAAAGATTGGAGCAGGGAGGCGCGGGTTCGATCCCAGCTCTGTGCGCCTGTTTCTGGTCAGAATCGGCGAAGAGGCCGGGCGGTTAAGCAAAGCAGAAATGAAGCAGTGAGTTGCGTGTTCGAGACCGCAAAAAGCCGTGAATGTTCTGCGATGTTAAGAATCGGCGACAGGCTCATGCCTAATAACGCTGAAACTGTTACTATTATTATTTTAAATATCATATTGTCCACCTGCCATGGAATATGAGACGAGGCTATGTTTTGCACAGCATACGAATCCAATTGATTGAATTTATTCAGAAGACGGCTCTGGTGTCGTTCAAAATTGTCTTAATTTCGTTCATAGTAATAACTATAATCGAAATTTGTGTTGTTATTAATGTCGGAGCTGAATTCTTTTATGGGTCTAGTTGATGGATGGTATAACGAATAAATAATCACTGTTCTTATGATGGAATTTCTCCATCATACTAGAATTTGAGATAAAACTACTTACAATCTAGCAGATGGCCAGAGAGCGATTTTGAAAGTTAATTCGGCAATCGCATTTTATTCTCTTGCCCGTTAATCTTTGGAGTCGCCACGAACTTGTGATTAAGCTCTATTACGCATACCAAGCAATTTTTATGGCTCCTTTTTGGAATGCCATGAGAGACTGAAGCAAAATCACTAAAAAAGTAAAAACGGAGAAAACTCCATACAAATTCACCATATCTCTATTAAAAACTTTTCGGAATCAAGCTCCATCGGCAGTTCGAAAAATCTAGAACCCAATAAAATCAAAAGTTGATGCAGTCGAAATTCAAAACAACACAGAAGTTTAAACCTAAATTTAAAAACAACAAACAGAGTAAGAAAGTAAAAATAAAATAAGAGCCCGCTAAACCTATCTATTTACAATTTTTTGAACTGACGATGGAGCTGAACTGCGTAACGTTTTCAATAGAGATGTGGTGAATTTGTGTGGAGTTTTCTTCACTTTTAAATTTATAGTGAATTTTCGATTTAGGCAATCTAGTGACATTAAAACTTGAAGCAGAATTGCATTATTTCTTCTCTGAAGGCATAACAGAAGCTTGTGATGACAGTGAGACAGCTCCTGTAGAGAGCTAAACTAATGCGACTGCCGCATACTAAATTGTTTGAAGGTTCGTCATTTTATGTACAAGGTAAATTTTCCTGTGTCTGCCATGCATTCTTAGTTTTGAAAGAATTATGCACAACGATGTCTGTATAAGCACTTATGTGCGTGGATGCTTATTGGTGCTAATTTTAATGAAGATTCTATTCGCGCTTCAGCCCTCGTAATTTAATGCAGTTCACAGAGTAAATGGCCTGATATTGTATTAATTTGCATTGATTAATTTTCCTTCCAGGCTCTCATGCTGTTTTCAATGGTATTTTAATAATTCACATGATAAAATAATCATATATTAATCAAAGTTCTTAATTGTTCGGAGTGAAGTTATAAAATTGTAAAATAATAATTCTAACATTTGTATCACATTTTGCATTAAGATGTGAAATTTTGATGCCTGTGACCTAAAATCATAAGGGTTTGATGTTATTCAGGACTGCGACGCTGAACAGCAATGAACGCCATCTAACCGAAATTGAATATAAAATCTTATTGGAAATATATGGCATATCTTACTGTGGGGTTCCAACAATTCCTTCATCCAAATCCTGCACAAAATATGCGGACGAGAGCAAATCCTGCGGATCTAGCATTCCAATTTTATTGGCATTGCACTACACTATACGTTCAGCATAGTCCAATGAAGCATCACAAGCCTTCTATATAAATTTGAAGTTACGAACAACAAAAATCGTTTGAATTATATCCTTCTAGTTTGGCTTGAAAAAATACTGAAGGCATTGCAACTAAATTATATCAATAATTCAACTGTGTGCATAAAAAGAAATGTCAAGCGTCTGAATTATTACTCATTAGTTATCGTTGTGAAGCTAATAATCGCGTGACTGTGCCTGCTGTCATCACAAAATAGCACATGCGATTTGTCCGAGCAAATTTATTGGCACATCTCAGCGTATAATAGATATCGTACTGATTTTATTTTGACGTTATTGCTGTTGAAAATTGCAACGTAGCTCAAAAACTTGATTGGCGAGATCTCTACTTCACTCCGTATTACGATAATGTGGCAACGCTTCGCAATACCATTTTCTATTTATCTATATATGTAAAACTATTTACAGCGATGGTTGTCCTAGTATCGCGAAAATGCTTAAATTGTTGATGCTATTGCGTTGTGGTAATGTTAAATTCAACGTTTATTTCCTAAAGAATCGCCACAGTTAATTTTCAAAATTCGACGTTGCCATAAAACTGTTTGCAGCACTCCTTGTTTTAGAAGTTTTAACTGCTGTAAGAAAAATTATTTTCTGTGATCTAAAGTGTCGAGGCAAAATATTATATAAATTTCCCGACAGGCCAGCTCCCGCAATCAGCGATTCTCGGAAGAACGAAGGTCACGAGCGGCGCACGCGCGGCCACAGCTGCTCCGGAGTGACCGATGGTCGAGCAAGCGGACGGTCTGACGAGTCCATATATATACTGAGCCGCCAACGTTGCGGTATATGCTCAGTTCTCAGGTGAAAGTTACTTTTACGATAGATTTTATTTACTTATTACTTCCATATACGTGCTTTGTACAGATAACTTTTGTTGAAACTGATCTAAATCAAAATGCGTTTATCAACGTCGAAGTCCGAGCCCAGTAGGCTTGAATCGAAAACGTTACTACCATCTTTCGAAATGAATTTAATTATTTTGGGCACTGCTTTATTATCTACTTATCCAAATTGAAAAGTTTGTTTCAAGTTTAATTTCTTCAGATGAAATGTTTCAATGGCTAACTGAATTCGTCGCTAATATCTAATAAATTTAATTTTGAATTTAATTTTAGTACTTCTGCAAAATTCCGGAAATATGTTGATTGTTTCGGAGGTACGGTTCCGCCTATTGAAGGGTAATTATACTCTTGGTTGTTTACATCCACCCACTCATTTAATGCTTCAGTTTTTACAAAACGATCTATTCATACATGTACATATTTTACACGAATACGTTAATTAATAAATTCATAACGCTATGAAAATTATTTCGATAACATACTAAATTCACATCATTTGGGACGAATGAATAACAGTAAGAATGAAGCATACATGGTGGTAGCAATATTGGTCTGAGTGTAAATTATTAAAATAGATTTTTAATCAAATCAGGATCCCATAATATTTGAAGGCAATGTGCGCTCTCGGCTATGCCGCGAAGTATGTTCGAGTAATGAAATTCTTGGATTTTTTGTGTTACGTCAGGGAATACATGTTAAATCCAAGTCACTGCCATGGCTCAGGGTTACTGGCAGTTGAGTTACCATGGAGGCGTTGGTTTGATCTATTACCGAGACGTCACTAAATACGTAGTGACTCTGTAGTAACTCATCAATTGTATTGTAGAACAATTGGCACACGACGATCACGAACACGGCTTCTTCATTACTCTAACTTTGATTAAAGAATCGGTATCACTGAGGTCATATGTACAGCGTCAATAACGAATTAAAAGTCCGTGATAAATTATACAAATTGAGTGCTTCCAATTTAGGCTCCTTTATATCGGGCTATGAATCATTGCTCCATCATAAAATCTGTCGTATGCTACTGAAAGGTGTATACGAAGTGTATGAAGGGTGTATACGAAATGGATGAAGGGTGTATGTATGTGAAGTGTATATATCAATCTGCAAAGCAAACGCTCCAGCACACCTCGTTCACGTGGCTGTGTTCCAACAATACACGCCAATATGTCAGCGAAATTCGGTAACGCTATTACCGAAAGCGTGATTATTCAGTTATAAATATGATTTATTTACACCGAGTCTTCAACAAATTAATGAGGCCGACAAGACCTTCAACAATATTTTGATTGCGGCAAGCTATAAACGCTTCTCCGATTACATGAAAATCAATAAAAAAGGCATCATTTGCTTAGAATGAAAAATGGCTATTCATTTGATTGGTATAAAGAGCATTTCTCAACTGCCTTCGTTGTATAAAAAAGGTTCATTTCTTCGCAAAATTGATAATTGATCAAAAGTGATAATCGGAAAATTTATCTTACAAAATCGATATTTACAATGCTGAAACATTGACTAGCATAACATACCTAAATGTTACGAGGTTAATTCCAACGACTATGTACAAACTGCTTATGATGAATGCTCGGCTTAACATACAATGTTCGTTCACACACAATTAGTGAATACTATACGCAAGAACCATTCGTTATCATCAAGTAACATTCAGTTCATTGAGGGCCACCGTTCAACATTTTATCGATGAGACCTCAACTTCAAAAATCTGTTTCATCTAAGGAACCGTGATTCCACAGCAGTAAATTGGCATTTGACAATAATAGAAGGATATAACTCATTTTGTTATCAAAACGAAGAAATACGTTTAGTGAGCGAACATTCATGTAAAGAAAAAACAATATTTAGTAAAGTAAGTGAAAGTTCATTTATGATGTGCATCATACTAAAAATAACGAATTTCATTTAGACCAGAGTGCAAAAGTTGTTTCATCGCTTTAACACAAAATTTTTCATTCCACAATAGATTAACCTTTAGCAAAAATTCGTTGCACTGCAGTGAGTACAATCTAATGAAATTCATATTGCTGAATTCCTCCCACAACACCCGACATTTTGTAACATAGATAAATGAAGGTTGATTGAAAACTTAGGAATTCGCCATTCACAACATTAGACATAGAAACTGCAAACTTTGAGGGTTTACGCGCCAAACAAGTTCCGATATTCTTGTGATTAATTTAAAATAAGCAGAATTAAGAAGCACGTCTCAAATACCATTGTAAAAAAAAACCTTTGGAATTTGGAAACAGTCGTTCGAACTTCCACAAGTATTTTAATTAGTCTCCCAAAAAACATTAATTAAATCAACTCAAATACATTGTTCACATAAATAAATGACCACTTTGAGCAAGATTTGTCTCCAATTGATAATCCGGTTCTAAATTAAAAAATATAGCCCCAGTTTCTTTGGAGCACACAAAGGAGGTTATTTGAATGACGTCATCGAACAACAACAGTGTGGAATCAATTGCAAGCGTCTTTGTTGAGGCTCATCTTGCAGACAATATCGGTGGCGTATGAATGACCGACAACACAAGTGAGGTGATAACAAAGGCCTCGTCTGGCACACCAACAGAGCGCTGAAACAAAACGCGGGTGACAATCGCCTGCGTATATTTGAAGAACGCCAGACTGCGAGTTTGGGCTCGACGCGGAGTAAAGAGTGGCGCTGGAGAATTGCAAACGAATGAAAATGACACAGAAAAAGAAAGAAATGAGAAAACGAGAAGGATGCAGATACAAGAAAAAAATAAACCTAAATAATTCAGTGAACCCTAATAAAAAATAAAAGTGGAGAGATGAATCGAGCATGGGCGGAGGGAGGGAAAGAGGGGGATGCCATTCACAATGGCGGCCGTTTGGAGTTTGGGGATGGGAAGGGAGAGTCACGTTGACCATTCCAGAGAGAGAGGGGAGGGAGAGGGTATGTAGGGTGGCGGGAAAGGGGGATGATGAGCAAAATTCGGGCTTGGGGAAGTTGAACGATGTATTGAAAGGGACAAAAAGTGGGAGCAGGTGTACACGTGGGAGAATGAGCAGTCGCCGTGGATACGTATAGAAGGGTTGAATGAAAAAATCAATATCTGTATTGGAGAGCACATTATCTTAAAATCTCGAATTTAACGGGCAAGATAACAGTTACGAGACTCGATTTTCAATAAAAAAAATGAGCTAAGTTGCAATAGCAGAGATAGAGTGAAAAGTTCAGAGCCTAACAGAGCACGTGTCATATTACATGGTTGATAGGCATGAAGTTCCCCGAAAGTGTAAATTTAAATAAATTGAAACCCATAAAAACTACGCAATTTCACGACACAAATAATTCCAAGCAAGTTAGACGGAGTTGAATTTGATGCCATGTTTTCAGAAGAGCTTAGCACACTCTTACAATAAACCGAAGAATTTCAACTTGTTGATTTTCATGCTTAAATTGATGTTCATCGATAGGATAAAAATAGATTTGAAGAGCGATTCACCCAAGAAAAAATAATAATGATGAACGAACGATTTTGCTCAAGCATACTCGTAATCGAACGCACTTGTTAGTGGCTGAAGAACACTGAAAGTATCGCGTAGCAAAGTACCAAAATTTCTAAGAAAATGTAACTTTTACGTGCCCCGGGACAGCTTCAACAGCACATCATCGGGATGGCTCGACGTAATTGACAGGGCAAGATGTTGAATAATCTTCTATTTTACTGGGCAATTGGAAGACAGCGGGAACGGTGAGTGGTGCCGTAACAATTCTTATAAATACAGTTAAAAGGGTATAGCCTTTCATTAGCTTTACAGTATCCTGATGTCCGAGTTCGCTTGAATAAAAGCGACGAACCGAACGACCGGATCATATTATACAATTTTAACGCATCTACAGGAAGCAATTTATAATCTTTGGCCGTTCTAAGAATACTTATAAATACATTGTCATCAACATTATCCATTCTACTGCCTCGTCCCTTGAGCACCATATCATAGCGAAAACCGAGCCTAAATAATGACGGGCTGTAGTCTTCGACTATACTGCTTAATTAATAATAACTAATCTTCATTTGATTCGTAACCAAAACAAAAGCTTTCTCTCCGAAAGCTTGAAGTAATGTCTCTACTAGGTATACAGTCGCTACACGAATAAGACGCTTTTTAATGTGCACAAATTACAGTCATACTAAATGTCCCTCCATATGTGAAGGGTCTGGAGGGGAAGGTGGAGCAGGTGGATAATTAACAGATCTTCCTCCAGGTTGAAAAGTAGAGAGAGGAGCGTCGTTGTGTCTGAGGCCATCGGAACCGATCAAGGCATTGTGATGGTCGATAGTGATGGAATGAGGGTCCATCGTCAGACTTGAGGGCTCGGAGGGGATTGAATGTTGTTCCAAGCCCATGGATCCCATCATGTGCATTGGTGGCGGGAGAGCCGAATCTAAACCTAACGCCTGATAGGTTGTTTCGTCTATATCGGGCCCAACGGGTGCATGTGACTCAGGAAAATTATGAAGGCCTAATGTAACATTGGGCGCGTGGTACTGTGAAGGAGCCCCGTTTGGGATGCCGGTGGGTGACGGCGTGTAGGAGTAAGTGAGATACGCTCCATGGCTTTCGGGAGAAGCGCTGTAGTGAGTGGCGCGTGAAGGAGGCCGGGGAGTCACTTTACCTGCTCAAAACAAACGACATCAATCACTTGCTGGCGAAAAACGACAGGATCATCACATTTTAGTGCAGCGGATTTGAAGACGGTGATCAACGGAATTTAATCTTTCGATTGAAAGCAAGACGCACCACGCAAGGACATAGTGGAGGCTTTTATGAATGAAATGTAGATGGACGCAACTCCTCTTCAAGGAGTTGAATGAAACTTACCCCATAAAGACACACACACATGGTCGGTTTAGATTGATTTTCTCATAAAACTATAGATTTCTCTGATAATTCCAGTCTGACTGAAGTATTGAATGAATAATAAAATCTGCTAAACATTAAATACAACAATACGAGATGTTTTTGCTGGTTCAAACAATTGTCTCAAATCTGGGTTTTCAAGCGCTAACGATGCAATCTCACAATGAATGTAGGAAATCTAAAACAGAAAATGGCTTGCAAAATTTTTCGAAACGGAACCGAGTGCGAGAGAATAGCGCACTTCATTGCATAGCGGATAAGAGAAGAATATAGAGCGACGGCCGCAAGCAGTCTTAAGAGTTGGTTGCAGCGGGTCTTTGGATCAGACGTTATATCTTCCTTCCTGTACTTTACTCTTCCGTTTCTCTGGGTGATACTTCAAAACAAATCACAGATCGTGACGCAACGAACAAGGGGAGTATAGAATGCACAAGCTTTACCGGATGTAGAGCCTCGTAAATGTTGGGAAAGAAGTCTGACTTTGAATCAGAAAATGTCGGAATATATTTTGCCGAACAAGAATGGAATTTAAGAAGGTCACAGCTTGATAGCAAAAAAATTAAAAAACATATCGACCACGATTTGATATAGAGAAATATCAACCACGCTGTGCATACAACACAAGATTTTACGTCAGTTAATGCAAATTGTCAAGATGAAGTCAGTAAACATTTACCTTTTAGACATATTTCATCCAAAATGCCATTTAAAATTATTCTTCAACAGTAAACAAAAACTTAGCTTGATATTGAACTCCTATACAAATATGAATAAATAGATTTATCCTCACCCAGTTGATGGTTGTAGGCATTCCTGCGCAAAACTTCAGCGTAGTCGTCTTCATGAGGATTGTAGGCGGCAGACGAAGGCTGGGACGGAGTTTGACTTGCGTACTCAGGCGGAGGTTCGATTTGGTCAATGAGATACGCTGATCCTCCGTGCTTGTGATGACCTTGTTCCTGTGGCGAGACCAGCAGCAACACAAATTTTAGAAATTGTTGTCAGATTGTTGGTAAATCCAACTTTTTTATTTTGTAATATATTTTAAAAATCAGCTATTAGTGCTCGCCAAAACCCAAGCCAGAAAAAAGTAATTCTTACTAATAGCAATAGCAATGGATCATTTTCAAGGGAAAATACGAAAAAATGCCGAAAAAACGTGGATCAAAATAGAATAAAAACTTGGACTGCATGAGCCAATAAACCAAGAGCAATGAAAAGTGACCGATCGGGTAAAAAGACAGAGAGACGGCCAGGATCGGTCATTACGTTCCCTACTTAACATCAACGGCTTCTCGTACTGGCGCCGAAAATTTCATAATATTTCCTCACATTTCGGATGGTATCGAGTGTTCACTTACTCAAGAAACTTCTTCGAGGTGTTCACAAGTATTAACAACAGGGAATTTCGGTAGATAATTATCTTGATTTGCGTTTATAGAAATACAACAATTGTAAAAACTGGCAGCTGAAAACGTGTGAGTTGATTTTTGTAGGATTAACTTCAATCTAAACTGGAAAGTATCACAGGTTGAAATTTCATGATTGCACTAGATAATTTCAAGAGATAGAAGCCTAAAAATTTCCACTCTACGCGAGAAGATTCATCCATGAGTAATCAGCATTAGCAACAGAAAATAAAAAAAAGTGAATTAAAAATCAAAGTTCTAATTGGGTCTTGACTCGAAACTTTCCAAGCTCAACCTTTTGAGTGCATATACCCCCAGTGAAAATTTACCGTCATGATGTACCGCCTTTTAGATTTGAATGGGATTGGTGCGCCAATAATAGTAATTAGGGCGTTTAGGTCATCAACAAGGATACGATCACATTGACAAGCAACATGGATCACGGTTAACAAGTAGACAGTTCAGTAGAAATGTTTCACCCAATAAATATTATATATAAATGAAATTAGTAAGAAATTACAAGTACGTAAAGAAATAACGTTTTCATTGGAAACCTGTTAATGTTCAACACACAGACGTGTAAGAAATATCAAAAATAGGCGTGTAAATTGCGTAACTCTTACAATTAACGGATTTTATAATTCGAGTTTGTTAGCATGGTTAATTTTAAGATGATTACGCGGAAACAATTACGAAAAATTTTAGAAAACCAGCATAAAAATATTCTATTAAAAAATATATTCTATTAAAACTCAATAATGGAAAATCCCTCGTCTATAAAGGGACAGAGTAAAAATATTTGTAATAAATCAAACTATGTACTGAAGCAGAAAGTTTGGGGCATAAACTTATTACCTCAATAAAATAACGGTAATAAAAAATGAATTTGATGCCATGATTAGTGTGGGCATTGCATTATGAATGAAAATTTTAAATATAAATTTAAAATGAAAGCAGACAAAAATGTACGAGTAAAAATCTCATAATTTTTTGTTCCTATGATAGCAATGGTATAGCGAAAGTCTAAATCTTGGTCAGCGACAACTTCAAACTAAGCTAGGCAGTAATCCCACAGCTAAAAATTACAGTGCTTCAAAAATCCCTCAAAATTAATTGGGTCCAAAAGTACGTATACATTATTTCGGTGCGTCGAAAAGTATTTGAAGCAGTGCACGCAAAGGGATTATAAAGGAGCACTCAGAGGACGGACATGTACTACAAGAGCAGCACGTAAGGGTCAGGGTTTGGTTGTAGGTTTGTCGAAATAAAACTCGAACTCACGTCCGGTCGGCGCTCAAAGACATAGATTATGCGAGTCGTCTTTGGTAAGCGCCTCTGCAATGAAAGTGGCACGACCACAGGGAAATAAAAAGAGTTTAAATTAAGATTCCGCAGCGAGAATGACACACTCTCATTATGTCCATGAAAAAAGTGAAACTTGAAAATACAATGATAGAGTTGAGAATAGCAAGTAGATGAAAGACAGAAAAAGAGCACAGAATAAATTAGAGCCTGAATATTTGAAATTGATTTAGTGAAGACAATTCTAATTAATTTAGGGTACCAAAATGCAATTGAAAAATAATTGCTTACTAGATAAACTTGAACTCAGCACATTCCCATCTTTTTAGGATTTGGCTCTGATCAGCCTGGATAAATTACGAGGTGGTGAATATAAGGTATGGGATGAGTTATACGACGAATAAATATTCATACTCATAAAGAGGTTTTAGGACATAAATTACTTCGGATATTCATACGATCGTTAACAGATACCATATAGATTAAAATAGAATTAAGTACCAACTGCACGAAGTAATGAACGAAACGTAGACACGGAACAAGTTATGGTTCACTGAAAAGAAGTTGATGTTCATTGACATCTTCGTACGTGGGCTGAGTGGTTAGAAATTTTATCGTTAGAAATGCTTTGAAGTTTGAAATAGCTTGAAAATTAGCGTTTTTTAATTAAAAACACGTGGCATTAAATTTTCACAAAATTGCACAGATTGCAAAGCAGCAAGAAGAACAGCTCTTGAATCATAAATAGATCCTCGTAATGAATTCTTATTCGGTCATGTATATTGACACTCGGAAATAACACAATTCCCTGTTGGAATATTATTGACCAGAAACACGATCAAGTTGTAGGACTCGAGTTCACGTGCACAATTTCTAATCTCGTTGAAGACGCGCGACTACAGCAGTCACAGAGATGATGATGACGGGAGGGCTGCGGCGACGGACATTAAAGTTTTATGGATGATACCGATGACATAAGTGACGTCGTCAAGAGAACGCAGTTGTGGAAGCACATGAGCAGCCTGCTATTACGTCTCATAACGAAATTTTGATTCCGACAGTGAGGAATGGGAACTAAACAGAATTAAATTAAAATGATTCGCCAGAGAAACTGGTTGAAGGAAATATCTTACGGGGAAGCGACATCATTGATGAAATACAACATTCTACAAAGCGTTTTCTTTGCATGCTATACTGATCTAACGATGATTTATTTGTTCCGTCCTACGTTTCGAAGCCTCTTTGCAAGGCCGGCCGGTCATTTGCAGGGCAGTCGAGTAGTGACCCTCTCCAGACATTTGGGCAATCAAATGCTCCTTATCGGTGCAGACGCGGCAGCTTACGACCGCGCTATATGGCAGTGCGCGCGCGTTACGCCAACGAAAGATAATGAATTTCTGAGGCAAAAAATTACGAGAATTTTCGAATACGTCACGGAATGAATGGCGGTTGAATAATGGAATACAGAATGGAAGATTAGGATAATTTCCAGGAGAAAACGGAACACTGCGGAGTAAAAAAATGCATATTTTAAACGGAACACTGCGGAGTAAAAAAATGCATATTTAAAGAAATTTTGCGATCTCTAACCATTTTCACGACTTGCTATTTTCACGACAGTGAAAATACCAATTAAAAACCCATGGGAGCGTCGTCCTTCAATCTTTCAGGGGATCGGTCAGTGAGAGTCGAGTGTTTGATGCCATTGAAGATCCATGGAAGACCGATTAACTTGCTGATTTTAAATGCTCCGCGCAACGTGACAAATGAGAAATCAGAGACAAAAATCAGGCGAAAGAAGTGCCAATATTGCAAATACCTACAACCTAAAACTCTGAGGATACTTGGTATAGAACAAGAACAACTAGGGTTAACCAGTGAAATATAACCAGTGAAAAATATAGGAGGAGGTAATAACTTGATCACCGGGGCGAAGTGTTACCAATAGACTTCGTGACATCAGTCCAAAAATCGAATTGAACTTAATTCTTTAACATTCCATTTAGGCTTTGCTATAAAAAAAATTCGTCGCTAGTCGAAAATTAAAAACAAAGACCATGGCACAAATCTCAACAGAGGGACGTCAACTCTAAGACATACAACAAGGCGATACCGAGTAAATTCGAAATTCCATCAAGGATAGCAGCTTTGGTCTCGTCGAACATTGGCAGCTCGTAAATAATCCCGGCAGTCTCTGTTGTAAATCCAAAAGTGCTCCGAATACAACACTCCCAACCCATGCTAAGAAACCGGTTTTTGTGGCTCGCGTATTTGAGCGCACTCTCGAGTAGAGGCTTTAAGAGCTCAAGTGAAATAAAGACCAAGGCCGTCAGCCGATTGTTCAATCTGGCTAGACTCGGAGCTTCCATTGAGAGAAACGGAAAGCTTCAGCTCCAATGTTCCCGTGCTTTGGCTTACAATTTTCAATTACTAACTTGAGTAAAAGAAATCGGCTTAGAAAAACTCTATCACGAGATTTTTGCAGAAAATTTTTTTAGAAGCCGTGAAGTTTAAAATAACTGACTAAACGGTAGACACGATCAGACTCCGTCGCACGAAATAATGATCGATTAAGCTATCACTTGCATTTCCCAAGCTAAATTGTAAATATTTCTTGGTGTTCAGAACGCAGCGATAGGCTTTCAGCGTTTATTCTAGTAATCAAGATTTAAATTCTTGTTACATATTGATGGTACCCTAATCTTAGACACAATTGAGGTCTCACAGCTCTCAAGAAAACTCAATGCGCTATTATCGATTCATTTAAAAGATAACTGCTAATTACTTCAGACGTCACCGCAAGATCTGGATATATATATTTTTTCTTTTCATAAATTTGTTCATGAAGGCCTGAGCACAACAGCAGCGTTGTATTTTCTCCTCATAGCCACTTGAACATATTTTAATAAGCTACTAGCGAGAACATGGTTCAATAAGCTCTTGATAGGGTAAGTTCTGCTTGCTGTACGGGTAATTCCGGAACATGTTTTGAGAGCGCTGCAGCCAGAGCTCGACTATCCTGTTGACGCCTATGAATGTCGTTCCCCTGGGGGCTTCGAGACCCATGAAGGCACAATGGACTGAGGTTCAGCGGGCGTGCTGTCTTGTTTACGACACGATTGTTTTTGTTTAATGGAAGATACTCGAGAGCTATTGGTTCAAATCTTGCGGACGACGACATGGTGGTTTCAGCGCACGCCCTTTACCAAGAACGTCTTACAAGAGATACCTCATGGGATGGAATATGTGAAAATTTTCATCCTTATCGCCGAGTCAAATCGATTATAAATAGGGCCAGTATCCGACGAGTTACGGTGATAGTGCACGGTATAACGACAAAAAAGTTTCGATTCCGAATGCATATTTGCTCCAGGTGACATGACGAAGAAATTTAATGAAAGCCGCAATTTAAATTGAACTAAAACGAATAATAATGAGCATAAACTTACAGTAAATCCTTTCATTGACAAATTTGATATTTGATATATATTTGCAGGTATGCTATTGAAGTTGGTATAGCCGTAGGCTATACCAATTCAAATTATAATTTTAAATTACCATGGAGGAAATGAAAGCTAAATGCACCTTGAATAGATATTAAAAGGTATCCCATATGTCCATGAAATGCACTTACAGAGAACTTTTGTATTGCGCGTCAAAATATGCTTGCCCTTCTGTATGTGACAGTATCATCGGAGGCGCACTTGGAAACATGCCAGAAGTTTCTGTACCAAATTTACAACTGCTGGGTAACAGGTAGATTTTTTCAAGACAAAACTTGGGGTATTCAATAATGGATTCATCAGGAATTGGAAGTAATAGGGGGAATGAAATGAGGTATGAGTCATGCCGACCACTGACTGGTCAGCTGAAACGCACCACAAATCTGTACTTATCTCAGAGTTAATTAAAAATGAGCTCACCTCGTACTCGCCAACACTGTCTTCTTGGGTATAAGACTCTCTTGATTTTTCGGAGATGGAGCTGAGTGTTTCTCCAACAACGGTGTCATTGTAGGATGAGGGTGCGTACATGGTGTTAGTGGTGCTCTTACTGCTCCCTTGGTCGCTGCCTAAGCATAAGCAGACACAAGAAAAGCATTAGCCACTGATAACCACACTGAAGTCAAGTAATTGATTATTTCAAGTCAAATTGAACAAAATGAATAGGATGCAAGAATGACAGTTGAAATGCACTTCTCTGGTAATAAAAAAGACAAGAAGCCCTTTAGAATACTCCATGGTCGTTATTGTTTTCAGCTGCTAATTATCTAGAATTGAAACGTACTTCTCAAACGGCACCAATGACTGACATAAATTACTGAATGAGACAGGCATCTTAAAACGAAGTAAATGTAAAAGGTTACCACCTAACGAGACTGGACGCTACTAATCGAAATCTAAAAATGACTATAAATGAGTATTCATTGGATCTAAAGACTAAGGGTCTCTTTTAGTAACACATTGAATTTTTAAATTCCAAAGAAGGAAACACCTAAAAGACAAGTACTCAAATAATTAAAATTGGAAAATTTTCACACACGCTCACACACAAAAAAAAATTAATCAAAGTTAGATGAATTTGTTCAACGAATCCGTACCATCTTCACTTCGACCTCGTTTTCTCCGTATCAAACAAATAACGAGAGCAATGTTGAGAATGACGATGAAAGTGCCGACAATTGCTACAGCAATGATAATCAGCTTAGGCAAGTCCCCCCTGCCGCCGAGCACTTGGTGTAAGAGAAGATCGTGAGGCTCACCCGACCGGCCTGCAAGCGGAGAAAACGAAGGGCGGCGTTATATTCAGAGGGTCACTTACCCGATCTCGTAAGGTGAGGGGAAGTGGAAGATAGTGCGATGCCTTTAGGAGAGGAAGAAGAGTGGAGATGTTGCTTCTTGGATTGTGGTGAAGAAGCGCGTTTGTTCCTGCGTCGCCTTATAATGCACACTATTGCAGATACGTTGAGAGCAAGCAATGCAGTAGCAACGAGAACTATGATGATGACCCAAAGACCAGGCACTCGTGCATGGCTACTGCCAGCCTCCCGACCAACATTGGAAGAAGGCACGGGAGTCGGCGGCGCTTCGCCTGGTAGTAAGGAGCCAGGGAAAGCCAATTCACAATCGGGAGGAAGCATGCACGAACCTTGCACTCACATCGAAAATTTATACATATTCAAATAACCAAAAATGTCTTAAAACTTCTCCAAAAATTGAATTTGATTATAATTTGTCTCACTCGTAGATCTCATCGAAATTAAATATTTTCAAAAGTGAAAAGCATCATAACAGATTTTTGTGGCTTAAAATTTTTTCAGCGTAAAATTGAGTCAATTTCATGTTAGTATTGAGGTCTCAGAATAGAATCCGAAAGTAACCGAATTATGCTAATTTATAAACGTTGAATTGATTTGTGGAGCATAACTGAACAGAAGTAAGTCTGTGTCATTATGGCAAATATTTTTTCGATAATATGATGTTATTCGTGCAAGGTCCATTTCCCGGGTTAGTGTTATTAGTGCGGTTAAAAGAGAAAAACCGTTACATAAAACTCGGCTGTCCAAAGCGTTTGCCGATGCAATGGCTGACTCTCAGAAGCGGCGCAAAACTGGCCTTCAGCGAAAACCCTTCAATATGCTAATGATATGAAGAACACCTCTGATTCTTTTGCCAAGTGAAATACCAAATTATTCAAGAAAGCCAGTTTTCAATATGCGGAGGCTAGGTTTCACGGAATGCAAAAAATTGCACGCGTCAATCAACTACATTTTTCTCAAAGAAGAAAACTTTATTCAGATTCCCGGTAAACAAAATCATTAGAAATTGCAGCATTTCCCTAGAATATGTGGGCATTGAGCTACATGACAAATGATTGGAAAGTTACACAAGGTGATATAGGGGTGATTAAATTAATTGTGCATGCAAATTAAACATGAAACTCAGATCCACACGCAATACCCACATTTAGAGTCTTGTAAAATGAAACTCCCCATCATGCCAGAATCGAAAACTACAGATCAAGAGAAAAAGAAATACAGTACTTTAACCAATTAGGAAATGAAAACCTGCAAGAACCCGGCAAGAAATTTTTGACAGGCGGGCTTGCAAAAATTTGTTAACAGTGTTATTTTTCACTGATGTAGGACACTTAACTGAGATGCTGATGAAATTCTGGAGTGACTAAGATCTTATTATGAACAGAGCTCAGACGAGATTTGTGTCACAGAAGGTCTTCAGTTATCCTTATAGAAGGAACTATTGCACCAATTAAAGTACCATTCTTGATTGAAATAGAGGGAAATACTGTGCGTATACAGAGTACGAGTGCAGAAAGAAGAACCAATGTTGAATGTTGTTAGTGAATGCAACTGTGAATGCATAAAAAGGAGATTAACACCTCCTTAAACACTCGTAGGCGAAAATATCTAGCCGTGATATATCAATATCACTTCATGATATACCGGTATGTGCCTCGAGACACAATATGTAAACTCGAATTTGAAAGATCCGTCGTGTTAAAAAAATTGGCATGTAGCAGATATGTAATGTCAACGTAAAATGCGTCGAAAGACCAAGTAAAGAGGAGAATTATTTAAAGAAATATAATGTTCTGAATATATTTTTTTTAGATCATGAGAAATTGTTCATGGAATGAGGAAATATAATCTAAACAACACCGTTGTCATAATATTTTGATTTTTTTATAATTTTTTTAACATCTACAACTTATATTGAGTTCACTTATTTAACTACTCACTCAAAGTTCGAGCTCGGACGAACTCGCCCCTGTACTCGCTCTCTCCCATATCATTGTAGCTCTTGATTGAAAAGTAATACTCGGTGTCGAGGTCAAGTCCCGCAACGGACTGGGAATACACGCCAGACTGATACACGTCAAGGCACTGATAATGCGACGAGTCTTTGGGCCGATACCGCAGCCTGAAGTACTGAGGCTTGCCGCCGTCAAATCCTGGCACCCACGACAGCATAACGGAGTCGTGAGTGGTGTTCAGCACCTGGCATGGAAAAAACGTTCCCAACTTCATAAGTAGAAAAAAAAAACAATCTTAAGGACTACATGAAATTAAATCTATATCAGTGTCAGCCTTTATAAATTGTACTTTAATGAAGCAGTCGTAATGATTTTTTTGGGAAATTAGACATCGATCGAAATTCAGGGGACTTGGTATGAATTTTCTTTAATATTTTCCAAAGTAACGGCTAAAGTTTCGAATTACATCAGTACTAGCCGTGCATGAAGTATTTAATTTCACTTAAGAGTGAAACATGAAAGCGAAAAATTAATGGAATGCAAATCTTACCTTGAGAGCCAACGGAGGTTCAGGAATTGTGGGCGGTGTGAATTGGATAGTGAAGGGAGAAGCACCGAGCTCGTTCTCGGCCACGCACTCATAATAGCCGTAATCGCCCTCGTTCACATTACGGATGAAGAACAATGATTTCCAAGTAACGAGCCCGATCTGCGGTAATGGCCAGCGATCATGATATTGAGTGACCGTCCAACATCGACGCAGTATATTGAGCAATGAACGATGCTCAAGTACCTCGGGAAAGCTTTGCATGTGCTAAGAGATATTCGATGGAATCAAGAATATGGGCTATTGGGCCTAAATTTGAATTATGAAAAAAATAATAATCAGCTGAATTTAAGCTGATATAATCATTTAACAGAATACTTTGATTGAAGCAAATTACTCAAAGACAAGTTGGAACCAAAAATTACACTCTGCAAGTACTACTGGCTGAATTGTGAATAAAGGGGTTAAATGAATTAGAAAAGTCATGTCATATTAGTTCCCCTAAAAATAACTAAATAATTCAATTAGGAGCTAATTTAAGCTAATTAACTTAACCAATTCCAGCTTGGAGCAAATAAAAGAAATAAAAATGATTCATGAATAATGATAAAATGTTAATATCAAAATGTATAAGAGTATCTCTTTGAATTCCTAAGCCACGAGAATCATTTCGAGAGCCTAATGACAAGAATAACTCTTAGGAGGTTTTCGTATGCTTCTAAAATAAATAGAAGTATAATTATAATGTGCCGTCATGGTGTAAGGACAAAACTATAAATTGAAGTATAATTAAGAAGTGGCGCCTGGTGTGTTCCATAAGCCGATTACAAAACTGAAGCACAATAAAAACTGATCTCAGGCCTGCGAGGCCAGACACGATAAGTTAAAAAAATTACTTGGTAACGGAATCAGGTCTTGAGACGCGTTTGAATTTATTTCTTTAAATCTTATAACCAAGCTAATTCAAGATTATCATTACCTTCTTTTAACATAGTTTAGAATAAAATACCTTAACTAAATTTTAATAAAAATCAATCAATTCAGAATGAGAATGATATCCTAGCTCGTAATTAATTCTCTCAATGTTGGAGGCGGAAACGAAAATGAAAACTCTACAGAATTACTTAAGAGAGTAATTTTCACTACCTTGCTGGTTTCGTTGTCGTATTTTTCCGGCTTGGCTCCATTGGAGAGAAGGTCGCCTTCTCGACGCCAGCTGAAGCGCACCTCAGGGGCTCCTTGCGCGATGCACTCCAGCACACCCGTGAGCCCGAGGTCTGTGGCTGCCCGACTCAGCAACTGCCGCAGCACACCAAAACAAACACAATCAATGACCGTCCAATAACGATAAGTCTAATATAAACAGAATACTTTTATAAGATAAGAGAACAGGTAAAATTAAACTCGAGATTAAAAAAATAGTTCAAACAATGGCGATGCAGGTGATATTGCAATACTGATTAATACAAGATTACAGATGGAAGGAACTAGGAAGATTTAAAGAACGCAGTTGCGAAATACATGGCGTGTGAATTGATTGAACGATTAAATTTAATTAAACATGACGGAGAATTTTTACTTTAAAATGATGTACGTAAAATTGAAATATTAATCGCTAAAATTCGCACGACAAATGATAATTCTATCGCCAAAATATCGTCATTACTGCATGGTGTGGGATATCCATTTGTTTGCAATTCAAGAGTTAGTGGGTTTTATTTTATGTCAGAAGGTTAAACTAGCCACGTTTTCGTAGCTAGTTCAACGCCAGCAGTGAATAAAAATAGATTTTAATAATGGCAAAATTTAACAGTAAGAGCGCTGATAGTAAATTCGATGGCCAACTTTCGGAGTGCTTGAACATTTGAGTGAAATAAAATAAAGTATTGTTGTAAATCAGTTTTGTATCCCTGACGACTTACTAATTATTATATAGAGACCTTTTGGAGTCAGATCAAGCGGAAAAGTTCAAGAATTGCGAACAGCGGGATTGCAAACTGAGATTGGGAAATCTTATATATCAAACCAAGATTCAACAATTGGATTCAAATCAGTAAACCCGATCGTAAAACGGGAAAAAATTGGAAAATAAAATAAAAAACGCAGATGATCACAAAATTGCCAGAGCAATGAGAGATATTTCTAATTCGCAGAAATATTAAACTGCAGCTGTAATTCGTAAGCAACTTAGATATTCAGCATGAATTTCAGGTCCTGTTGCACATTTGATTACAGCAACCTCCGTGCTGCTGCAGCAACGGTAGAGCCGCCGCTCGTTAGAGCGCCGAAGCAAACAATTCGGCAATTTTTTAGAGCCCGTTCGATAATGAGCAAACGCAACCTGAAATTTAGTTAATATCCTGCCAAAACTCGCTAATTACAATCCAATGGAGCACAAGAGAAAAGATACAATGTATCGACGATAAATTTTCACGGCAAAACAGAGCCCAACTGATCACTTGCTTCAGAAATATTTGGTTATTTATCCTTAAAGCAACGAGTATAATTTTAATCATGAATTGAAACGGCTCAGTTCAGTTTAGAGCTTGCATGTGATTACAAAGAGCCAAAATTTAATAAGAAATTAGAGTCTCTTGCTTTTGTCGACTTACAGGATTCGTTTAAAAATGCACCGAAAATTTTGTTGCTTGTTCACTGAACAATTAACATGTACATAGATGAAAATTTTGCTGACACTGAAACATCTAACTGGAAAATTAAATGATGCCCAATTTTCCTATTTGCAATTATTGTAGGCATGATAAACGTTTATAATGTGCGTTCGATTTTCGATAATATTTCTAAATCCATCCAAAACTAAGAAGCAGAACAAAATTGTGTATAAAACTTGTCCCGTTGATGATGTTAAAAGTATGCGTGCAGCTGCTGGAAGAAACGCATCAAAAAACCACCTATTGTTTACCATCATTGAATGGAAACCGGTGTTCCAGGGCGAAAGGATTGTTTTGGCCCAAGTTTTTGGTATCGAAAACCTGTAGCGTATTGGTGGCATGCGGTGCTGTGACTGCTTTCCAATATCACTTTAGGAGAAAGTAACGTAATACTAAGGCCTAAACCTACCAAGCACACCACCAAACCAAATAAGTGGCAGCGTCTTGGTCCACGGAAGCATCTAACGCTCGAAAACATCGCAATCAACTTTATGATAATATTTTTCACATATTTTCTTCACGATATGTGAGTTTACAACGTTTCTCGCACAACGATCAAATCACGATCCAAAACGACCAGATTTCGATAGATTTACTGTCACTGAAATAATACGGCCGTGGCGCGAGTGCCCGCACAAATAACGGGAAACACTGTGTGTCGCAGATGCCAAATTTGGATACGGCTATCCAGCATTCGCATACAAATTTCAGGGAAGACTCGAAGCTTAGTTCGCGTAAAATAAGACAGTGCCGTGCTTATTTTAAGTCATGCGCCTTTAAAATCGCATTAACTGAATCGGCAAGACGGACTTGCGTCATAAACGGGTTCGGATTGACAGGTTCCTCCGTTTTCCACATAACCTTTGCGTTTATGGGTAAACTTTAGAAAATCTTAATTAACATTATAAATTTTTGCAAGCTACAGACAGATGATGAATTTCATGGAGTTAACTCTTGTCAAGCTGCACAATTTATACGTTATAATCGTACCTATGCCGTCCGAGAAGAGTTAAGCAAAGCGGAAGATGGAGCCATGTAAACATATCTTTAAGATTTTGCGAAATATAAAAAGTGATAAAACAATCAATCATGTAACACTCTAATTTTCAATTTACAAATTAAGAAACTATATGTTAATAAATTAATAGCCTTTCTCTTTCATTTTGATGGGAACTGACCTGTGACCTGTCAATTTGCGGTTTGCTCCGGACGATGAGAGTGACGTTGGCAGTTGACGGTGAACCAATTCCATTATTAACTTCACAAACGAACACTCCAGTGTCGTTCTTGTTCGCCGATAACACCGTGAGGGCAGCCTTCTTATTGCTGAATAAAAAAAAAAAAAACATGCAGTCGTTGAATATTCAAAAATTAGACGCTGTGATGTCTTACTTAGCGATAGATATATTGCGTTGACAATTTATGAATCCATCAAGACCGGTCGGCTAAAAAGCATGACTGTTTGGAAACCCACTCAACTTCAATGAAGAAGCATGAAAGATTTTTTTGTTTGGATTAAAAAATCTACACAAACTACAATGACAGATTAGCACTAAGATTTTAGTAATAACATCATAAAATTATACAATTCCCACAGGGTACAGAGACGTGCTTGTAAGATTTTATATTCATTTGAATATGTGTATGGTACGCGTGATTTTTCAAGTGATAGATGTTGACTAACTCGAAGGTCTGACGAGTGCCGGAGAAATGGTAGTTGGGGCGACGCCAGAGCATCATGGCTTCAGTCAGTGGGTTGCCTTCAGCCGTGCATTCCAGAGTGGCTTCGTCGCCTTCGGACACGGTAACGAGACCGCTCGTATACTGGATACGAGGTGGGTCTGCAGGCAAGGAATGACAACAGCTTCATTATAGGGAAATTTCCTTGGTTACATTATTCAGGTACATGGTTCAATTTCTGAAAAAGAATATCAATCTTCTAACACTTTATACCATTAACATTGAAAGTGCAGCTTTTTGAACAATGAAACGTACCTTACATCTTTGTAAAATTATGGTAACGGCAAGTCAACATTAATTTTAGTTAGAAAATTTGTTCCAAAGAAAAAAAGTTGCGATTGTGTTATTATAGTTATTTCTTGACGGTGAATTTCCAAGTCTGCATGAAATGTCATGTCTTGCAAATTCACATTACAAATCACAAAATTTAATCGCCAAGATAGGAACCGTTTTCGTAACCATTTCATTTATCAAACTAAACCATACTAATATGAAAAACAAAGCGAAGTAACGTCCGCCTGAAAGCTCGCATGAACAATGCACTAACACCAATCTATTGCAAAAAAAACATGAGCAACTACCATAAATGAGGAAGCAAGAACTTACATTGCACATTGACGTGGACCTTGGCAAGTGTAACGCCTTCTTGGTTGGAGGCCTCGAGCTCATAGTCTCCTCCATGTTCTATTTGTACGTTGCGTAGGAACAGGTAAGGCCCCTCAGCGACCACACCATCGTGGCCGTCATGTTGGAAGCGACGGTGGCCGAAGCTCTGGCTCATGCCGTAAGGGCTGCGACGAGCGTCTTCCATCACAGGCTTGGACAGCGGCGCTCCGAGTCTGTTCCAGGAGTACGTCACGAGACTTGGGTTTGCATGGGCTGTGAAGTTCAGGGTGATGGAACCACCAACCTCAATGTCCACTGACGGGGGAGGTGCCGACAGAAACTCCGGAGAATCTGGAGGGTATAGAAAAAAGTTGGCGCGTGAGACAAAAGGGAAATTCATTGAGGCACGGTCTACTTAATGTGTGGGAGAAAAAAGTTTGTGTCGAGCCTGGAACGACTGAATGAGTAATCCAGAAAAAAAGCCGTTCTTAGAGCTTTGAACGCGTTAAAATTTTTAGGAATAAAATACGAGTTAGAAAAGTATTTGAAAAATTAAAATTATACATAATTTGAATAATTTAGCCTGCATTGATAAAACAATGGGATAAGATAATTTTTTATTCATTTAAAGCACCAGCTTTTCTGAAACTGAGCATCCAGAGAAAAAAATGAATTAATACAATTACAATAGAATTGATCAGAATAAATACACACGCAGGAAGCGAAACGGACACAATAAAAGTTCTTGTCGTTAACGCAGACTAGACACTCGCTCTCCGCCACGTTTTATGTCGGTTTCCAAGTTGAAGATTTCTCTCACTAAATTATTTATCGTCCAACGATGTTTTGTGGGTGGACTGAAAAAGAGGACAGTAGTCGAGAAGGCCCGCGATATGGAGCGCTCTGCAAGACAGGCACGTCGAGCCGCAAAATGGAATGCCTATTTGCATATAAAGTGATCCAATGAATAGGGATGTATATTTTATAAACTAATGATGCCGCGGTGCAATCACAGAGCCAAGGATAATAAACTAAAAAGCCACAGAAAAAAACTTGCTGTAAATTAAGGGCAATAAATTTCGAGGGCTTGATTAAGTGATAGTAAACTAATTCGAAGCACGAGTGAAAACTAAGGAAATATCTCCAGCAGCGACTTCAGCTCAATAATTCGTCCGGCACGTCATTAGGGTAATAATTTTTAGGCTTAACGAAGTTTAGAATTTTGTTGGTAATAGAGAGTTTTGCAATTCATGACTTAAACGGGGCAAAAGCATTGCGGTTGAGGAATTGACGGAACAGCAGCTAAGTATATGTGGGGCAACAGTCCTTGCCTGTGGCAAAGCTACTCAAGACGGAGTGGACGTCACGATGTCCTCAGGCCGTAATCTTGGGACAGGTAAATTAGTTTCCGTCGAGGCATGCAACAGATCATTGTCCTTAGCTGCACCGGGAAAAACCACATAATTACTACATTGAATTTTTAGCTCTTTTTCAAACCTTCTAATTACCAAGTGCCATTTTCAAATTTTTCAAGTTCTCTTTAAAATTTTTCAGAGTTGAATTTCCTCATTTCTGTGCGAATCTTTGATGAAATTCCGCATTTCAAGGCAAAGCTTCTACCAGGCATGGCAACATATCCAGGCAAAGATGACTACAACTATACAAAGTTATGCAGTGCATTAAGCACGGCCGGAAGAGCGCACCTAGGAGGTACGGCGCAGCACATCCAGGCAAGAATATGGTAGCAGACACGCCAGAACATGCATGCAAATAACGGTGAAGCTACTAGGCAAGCTAGTGTACAAGCAGGCAAATAACGGGGCAGCTAGCAGGCAAGACAGTGCAGGAGGGCGTAAGTAAAAGGAGCAACACAAGCCATCACACGAACGCCAAGAGGGCAACCACTCGAGCGTGTAGGTACGTCATGCAAACGGAGCTGTAGAGCGCCCGCCCCACGGCTGCTCTAAAACCGGTTCACTTCACAATCAAATAGACTTTAAAAAGAGAACAAGATTAACTTGAGCTCTTTTTTTCTGAGCGGCGCGATGGGGTCAGCAACTCGCTTAAGAAAACTCAGCTCCGCACGCGCCTTCGTATTCAAGACTTATAGGCGCACAGACAAACCAGCTGCCTGCATGACCTTTAACAATTGACGACGGAATATAAAGTGAAAGACGAATGGTCAAATGACATCCAATATAATTTGATTACGTTCTACAATTTAATCTTTGATTTCAAAAAACGTTCATTTTTTACTGCATGAGAATGAGAATTTCACCGCATGGAAACATGGTAGTATATTTTACGGATCGAAAAATTATGAGATTGATAATATTGAAACTACTTAGTGAGAGACACGGCAACTATGATCAACCAATTATAAATTAATAGAACGTATAGTAAGTAAAATATATTCAAACACAGACAGTCAGTCTTAGTTCGAAAGAACCATTTTTCGTGAAATAAATATATTTCAGCATAAAACGGAAAATACGATTTAAATCATATGTTGGTTAGTAACTTTTTTCCTCTAATAAAAAACATAATATTTGACAAAAACGACTATGAAATATGAAAGTACGCATCGGTGTGCTGACGTTTTCGGAGCGTAAGGAGCAAAAATCTAAAATGACCTCATAATTATTATTTATCAGTCATTTACAGATCATTTATCGCTAGAAATTTAACCCTAAGATTATAAACAGTGAAAAAATGACTCGTCAATCAATAAAAAATATACTTTAATAACATAATTGGAATTACACGAAGTGAACGCATGCAGAAATTAATATTTGCGAAGTACGTTGTCAAATTACCACGAATAAATAAGTGGGCGAACACACCTATAAAAGAAAGAAGAGAAGAAAAGCGGAATCTAGACCGCAAGCAGAATTCAATCAATGGTCCAGGAATCACTTTAGATCCAATCAACAGGGAAGGAATCTGCATAAGGTGTTTTCAATGGAGCACTTGGCGGCAGATTTTACGGGGACACAGAGGCAGGCAGGCCTGCAAGTAGGCTAGATGGCTGGCTGTCTCCAGCTCGCTAAATGGTTTCCAATAAAGCCTGACCAACGCATCCCACAGCATATAAATAACTGGATCCTCATCAGCCTTTTTGACCGTTCGAAAAGTATCCAACGGCGCAGGAAAAGCCCCGCGTGGTTGTAACAAGTAATACATTAAATTAACGAACAAAAACTGTGAAAGAATCACAAATAGAAATTGAAGGTTGGATGTTCGCGCTTTACATGTACAAGTTCAGATGAACGACACATTTTCTGGTCGAAGTAGTCGCTATAAGGAAAGTTTAGCGATTCCTCTCACAAAACCTGCACTAAAAGCGTCAAAATCAATATCCATGCGCCAGCCTCCGTGGGGATTTCAGAGGCGACGTTGTTAGGAATAATGATCAGCGGGAACAAATAGCGGAGGCTGAACATACATTATAAGCGAACGGCTACCATGAGGCAGGAGTGACGTTAGCAATCTTCACTGGTCTTTATTTATAAACAACAAGCAGCAGTGTTTGCGTTGGCTTACTTGGCTGGCAAACATTCCATTGATATAGCTTGCAAATAGGTCGAAATTTGAATTTCATTCATAAAATGCAAATTTGTCATATCTTTCTGCGAGCAAAAGCACCATCAATTCTCAGTTATGAGTGCCCCACCTAATCGAGAGAGAAAAAAAACATTTATCGTCCAATAAAGTTGGAAAATAAAGTTAGATACAAACAGAGAACCAAAATAAATAATTAAAAAAAAGAAGATGCGCACACAATTTTTTTGAAGATGCATTTAATACTAAAAAAATATAAATTGTCAATGGTTCTTCATATGGCTTATTATATATGGCTTCGTATATAATATAAATTATAGTGGTAATTTCAATGTATATTAAATTTTTTGCAGACAAAAGCAATTTTACTCTATTTTACCCTTCCGTATACAGTATTGCATTAGGTTATGTTATTTTATGGCAAGCCTCGACCTCTTAGAATAGAATTTTTCTGTAATAAATTATTTCAAGCTTCATTCGAACGCTTGCTCAACTTCAATAGAAACTTTCTAGAACGAAGTTTGGTTTTGGCAGCCAGCACCTCACTAATACCACAAAAGGCCTTTTAAAAACGATGTGGAACAGTTGCAAGGATGAGTCCAAGAAGTTAGTCTAGCCGCTTTATATCAGTTACTTCAACGAGCAAAAACTGAACAAACTATTTGTGAACCCTAGCGGAGAAGAAAAAAACACAAAATTTTATTCTCCATAAATTGTGTTCAAGTAATAATAATTGTTGGATAAAATAACCTCTCAAAACATGATAAATCATAACGGCAATAAAGAATTCGAATTATCTCGGAGAATGCGTTTAGAAAGGCTAGACTAATTGATTGTGCACATTCAGAAGAAATGTGAAGTCGGAAAACTCTTCATTGTTAATAGACGGAATTTAACATTATCTTCTTTGGCAAGGCTGGCACATACCTACTGTATATACTGTATATTTAGTAAATATAAAATATCAATTTTACAAAACGATACCAAAATAAACATAAAAACCCAACAGTATGTTAGCCAATTCTGGCTAACCCTGGATTGAATGCAAGCTTTAGATGGAAATCAGAGTGTGAATGCAAAGTCTGGAGGGAAATTAAAGAAAGATGAGCGCGGTTGGGGACATCTCATTTTCATTCCAGCGCAGAGCTCCATTTGGCTGCAGCAGAGGCGGTGGAGTCGGCGACGTTCGTAAGCCAAAAGGACGGCCAACAGGTGGCTTCCCTGAGCACCGATCCGGTTAGAATTCTAATTTTGTCTCTCCCCTCTAACGATACGAACTTTTTATTTCCACTGGAGATAAATCTTCCTTCGAAGCCGTGAAACGAATGACGTTTTAAATTAATTCTATTGTTGGTGTTACATTGCGTCAATTATAGAAAGATTTTCTTTTTCTAAGCATTCCGTACATTACAAAATTTCTCTTCAGTTCCTACAATTTGATCGTTCCAAACGGTAAACTTGCGTTCAGAATTTTTTAAATGTCGATTATAATTTCGCCGCTCTGCGCAGCGTTGCAAAATTGTATATAATCGAAAAATTGGGTAACGTGATAACGAACACATAAATTCATAATTTTTGTATAAATAAAACCATTCAACACTGATGACTTCAAAAATGTGTATTTACAGTTGTCATATCATATTAAGTGAAAAGCAGTGGTTAACGAGTTGGATATTGGGCGGTAAAATGTTCACAGGAATGCATACAGTGTTATTGAAAGAAGATAGGAGGCAGTAAAACAACACAACTACATCTGTAAATCCCGTCTCAAATTGTAATTATTAAATAAA